AATCCAGGAGGCGGAGGTTGCAGTGAGCCAAGATCGCACCACTGCGCTCCAGCCTGGGTGACAGAGCAGGACACTGTCTAAAAAAAAAAAAAAAAAATCCAGGGCACAGTCCCCTTTCCTATCTATTTATCTCTGATTCTTCTACATTAATAAAAAGCTTAGATACTTAAAACTGAATTATTTGAGTTACAATTGTTATTTTCTTATAAAATGAATCTTTAAGATAATAAATAGTAATATTTAATGGGGTAAAAAACATAATTTAACTTATCAATGCAGAATATATAATTTTCCCCTCAAATTTAAACAAACAAACAAAAAACCATATTACTCTTAAGAAATTCCATGCTTTGCCAACAGTCTCATTATAACATCCTGATTTCTTTGATTACTTATTCGAGATGGCAGAGTGACACCTTCATGTTATTATGATGCCACGTGTGTTGTAGGGAGAAGTGACACTGGGATAATTCAATAAGCAACAGTAGTAGTTTACCTGAATAACCTCCCTTTATGCAGATTAGGCAGAAACATACAATCAGGTTATAATTTCAGTACATAATATCACAAATTCATAAATGTCAGAATCGCTCCTTTTCCTTTTCCTTTTTCTTTGCAATATTTCCCCAATTTCTTTCAGAGGAAAATATCTAAAAGGAACACGTTTTACATGCAAAACTTCAAACCCAGAACTGGATTGGAATTACTAACTAATGAAAGAAAAATAAAATAGCTAGAAACAATCTAATTTATTTGTTATATTGGCATTGTTTTCAAATTCCTACCACTCCCAGTCCTCATTTAGGACAAAAATTCATACCTTCTATCACAGTCTCTTTATGTTGCTATAATAAAATACCAGACTGGGTAATTCATAAATAATAGAAATGTTACTTCTCACAGTTCTGAAGGCTGGATGTCCAAGATCAAGGTGCAGGCAAGTTTGGTGTCTGGTGAGAGTCTTGTCTCTGCTTCCAAGGTGGTGCTTTGAATGCTGTGTCCTCACATGGTGGAAGAGCAAAAGAGAGTGGACCCACTGCCCCAAGGGCTTTTATAAGGACCCTAATTCCTTCCATAAGGGCTTCACCCTCCTCATGTAATTACCTCCTAAAGTAAGGTAATTAGCAATCCCAAGGGGTTTAAATGCTACTGTTGAAATGCTACTATCTAAAGTACAAGTAGAGCACTCTATAAGTGGGGTAAGAGGATTGCTAATCAGTAGGGTACTAAAGGGCTAAATTACTCATTACTAATTTAGTCCTTTACAACACTTCCAGTTTCTGCCATATATTTTGCCAATTCAAATATAAACTCCAAGTAACCAAGTATAGTGATCTGCTTTGTTAAGTGATGTATCTTCTGCACCTAGAAAATTGTACAACATGGTCAATAAATACTTGTTGAATAAATGGATATTGTAGATGAAATATAATGTTCAAATTAGATAATTAAGTTTATTTGATTTAAATTTATGTATCTACTTATGATGGTGATTTTTAGTCTGATAGTAGCATCACTGTTTAGATGCTGCTGTCTAAAGTACTAGTAGAGCACTCTCTAAGTGGGGTAAGGGGATTGCTAATCAGTGGGGTACTAAAGGGCTAAATTGCTAATTTAGTCCTTTAGAGCACTTTTAGAGTGTTCTAAGTGAGGTAAGGGCATTGCTATTTAGCAGGGTACAATTTTAAGTTAGTTCTTTAGGAATGACTTTATTGTAAAAGTGACATTTGTGCAGAAACTGAATGAGGTGAGTGGATACTAGAGGAACTGTCCTCCCGGCAGAGAGAACAGCAATAGAAATGTTCTTGAAGCAAGAGCATGGTCAGTGTGTTTATGAATCAGCAGGGAGGAGACTGTGGCTGCAACAGAGTGGGCAAGGTAGAAATTCAAAACGAGTCCAACAGGAAAGGTCAGAAAGTGATCTTGTGGAGTATTGTAAAGACTTCCTGAGTGAGGGGAGAACCACCAGAAGCTTTTGTACAGAGAAGTGATGTATTTATTACTGTAGTTGCAGTGTTGCGATTTAGTGGTATGTGTGAAGGAGAGGAAGGAAGAAGGGATGCAAAAGGCAGAAACAGGAAGACCAGGTAAAGGGCTGTTCCAATAATTTACAAGAAATATGGAAGTGGTTTTTGATAAGGTACTAGTGGTTGAAGTGCTGTAAAAATAGTAAGATTTGGGGTAGATTCTGAAGATGACACCAACAGAATTTGCCTATAGATTGTGTGTAATGTATTAGAAAAAACTCCAGAACAATCGAGACTATCCTGGCTAACATGGTGAAACCCCGTTTCTACTAAAAATACAAAAAAATTACCTGGGTGTGGTGGCGCGCACCTGTGGTTCCAGCTGTTTGGGAGGCTGAGGCAGGAGAATCGCTTGAACCCAGGAGGCGGAAGTTGCAGTGAGCCGAGATCACGCCACTGTATTCCAGCCTGGGCGACAGAGCAAGACTCCATCTCAAAAAAGAAAAAAAAAATAGATTTACTGTTTGCTGGGATCTGGAGGACTGTGGAAGAAGCAGAATTTTCGGAGACATATCAAGGACTTGGTTTAGGACAAGTCAACTCTGAGATGATTATTAGACATCAAATGGAGAGGTCGGTTAGAGAGTTGGATTGACACGTCTGAAATTCATGTGTCAGGTTCAAGTTGCATATTTAAATTTGGAAGTCATCTGCATAATGCCATGAGACTAGGTAAGATTATTCTGTAAACAGACAGAGAAGAGAGGAGGGCCATGGACTGAACTTTGAAGAATCCCAGCATGAAAACGTTGAAAAATGAGGAAAAGCAAGTAAAGGGAACTAAGAAGGAATGGTCAGTGTGGTAAGGCAGGAACAAAGACTGTCATACCCTGGAAGCCAAGAGAAGATATTTCACAGAGAGTGAACACTGTTTCCATTAAGACAAGTCACAGGACTAATTTACCAAGTTATATAATTACAGGTATAACCTACATGGAGACGAGTGTTTGATGGAATATTAGGTATGAGGTATCTGGAAGAGAAAATTTGGAGATAAAAATATAGATAACTATATAAAGAAATTTTATTCTTGAGGGTAGCAGGAAATGGGATGCAGCTAAGAAAGGATATGTAGTTAAGATAATTTATTCAGAGATACTATAGTACATGAGTTTCTTCATGAGAGCAATCAATAAAGTCGATAACAATCATGATGCAGAATAGAGACAAGGAATGTCTAAATGATGTTCCTGAGTAGACAAGAAGGAGAAGGATCTAATGATCAGGTAGAGGGGCTGACCTTCGAAAAGGACACAGATAGTTCATATACAGCTTGCAATGTGTATACTGGTGAATAATGCTTATTTAAAACCCATGTTACGAACACTTAAGCTTTCATATTTCAAAGAAAATGTTCTCATAAAAATTGTACAGGAAATGGGTATTTTGATATCCTCTAACTTATAGATGAGAAAAAGTAAAGTTAAACTGTATTTAGAAACCCACCTACTATCATAAAATATTCTGCAAAGTTTTAATTAAGACTTGGATCTCCTTGGAAATTTTAATTAGAAATTGACTAATTAGCCCTTAATCCAAATAATTTAGATTCATTATTTCTTGTGGAATAATGTTCCCAAACTTATCTGTATATCAAAATCACTTCTGGGATCTCATTTTGCTTTGATTGGCAACATAATCTCTGGTCTTAACCTTTGAACATTCTCTTTTAGTAAATCTTGGAAGGGAATGGGTGCTTTAAAATAAGGCGTCAGTTGTTTTCAAAGTGCTTTCACATTTGAGTACCACTGTGGTGTCAGACATATAAGCTATACGAAATGATTTTCTGCACATAGGAATCCTCTGCAAGCCATATATATTTTTCATCATGAAGAAAAATATGAACTTGTGAGAAGTTCAGTGTGTGATTTTTATGATAAATCACCTTCAGTGAATTAGCTTTCATGATTAATAATGTTAGATATATGAATTTTCTTTTTATAAAGATTGGGCACATTAATTTAGTGTTGAAGAGAGAATAGTAAGACTTCATTTGAGTGTTGGTTTCAGTTCCTTCTAGTGGGTCCTAAGTTGGTGAGGGAGCATATCAGGGCCTGAATCAGGGGCTTTAAGGAAGGCTAGTCCCAATTTTAATCATAATTATCTTGTTTTAACTTATTTTGTTAAAGTCCTGTTTGATATTTCATTTCAAAGAATATTTGTCTTTTATTTAAACATACAAAAACTGAATTAGAGAGATGATGTCCATCAAAGACTCAGGTCCCCAAACAGTAAAGTGCTCAATCTGCTTTCTGACATCACTGTAGTCTCCGTGCAAGAACAGTGTTGTCAAACATCACTGATGAAAAGATGTTTACTAACTAGTCTCATATTCAGTGATACAGCACTCTTGACACATAGTACCATTTTTATGAAGACTTCGATAAAATAAATCTATTTGACACTTTGCCCTAGGGCAACTGGAGGGACTGCCGTCTACAAAGATTAAATTAAACACAAGTAAACCTTATTACTAATGAGCTTTACTGCTAAATTTCACAATATTCTTCTGATAAACTTTGCTGAATATGAAAAACTTGAAGTACTATTTGTACAGAGTAAGTAGATCTAATGCTTAGAACAAAATTAAACTTATTTGGTCCATCCCCTACTAAAACCATGCTCTTATCCCACCTATTTAAATATTACAACTCTGATTAATAATTTACTGAAATATTTAATTTAAAAATATGCAAAAGTATTTTGTGTTAGTCTGAGTTTTCTGATAAGCACACCAAAAGGGGATTAAATATTAAGAAATTTGTTATTTAAAAAAACTGTGGGAGAAAATGGGGAGGGAGCCAGGAGAGTCCGAGAGAGTCATCAGCCCATGATACAAGTCTGACCCAGAGTGAAGGAGAAAGAGAAAGCAGGAAAAAAGTTTGGATGGAAGCATCTTAGACTACACTTGCCATTTTAAGGAAAATTTAGCAAACCAAAGTCATCCATTAGAAGAGGCTAGCTTCTCCAGCGCTAGACTGCCTTAGGATCTCTACCATGTTTTGTCATTGACTGAGAGTTGCCATAGGAAATGTGTCCTCTGCACAAACACAGCAGTGGGTTTTAGGGGTTGCAGCTGGAACTCTTGGTCAATTACACTTCCTGCATTTGGAGATTTGAGAGGCCTATTCTCATGATCACCACACATGTACTCCCGTGTCTGAGTTTGTGTTATTTATTCATCTACTGTTATGGATATCAGATTAAATTTTCGCCTCCAATAACTGTAGAGGCTGGAGATTACCCTGAATTCAACTATAAAACTGGACAAGAGAAGCTAATACTCCTGTTTTTTCATGCTGCTCACTTAAATACATTTGAGTGTCTAGTTTTTCTATTTCTTGCTACTCTTTCTAGGGTCATACCCATATGGGAAATTGAATGTACTTCTGTTTTGATATAAAAAGAAGGCACTTTTCCCAAAAGGCACCATTAAGAAAGACTGAGAAGGTGCCAGCCCCGAGGCTGTGTGAACTGAGCTGCTCTTCACACAGCACCGATTCTTCTCATTCCTCAACCTTGGCGGCTAATGGAATATGCTTCTCCAAGGGGGAAGATTTATTCACAAAATGACTCTATAGAAAAATGTACAAGGAGTAAAGCAGATCTGCTGTTAGGGTGATGAAATTTTTCATGCTCTGTTTGTGAAGTGATTGGTGTTTTCTACCAGTTATCTTTGTGCTTTGGCTTCAATTTGAGATTACCAGGTGTCTGCCTTCCTAAAGAAGAAATTTGAGGCTATTTAAAAGAGATGAGAAAAGGTTCCTGTAGTTACATTCTTTCACTTCAACCACAAACCTGGGCTGGTTCTGAAGACGCAAAGGGGAACGTGACAGGACTTGATAAGTGTCAGGTTGCTCATGTAGAGATTTAGTATTTAGGCATTGTTATTTGGGAAGTAGGAAGTATAATGAGGTCAGGAGTGCTGCAATTTTTGTTTTAGTCTCAGTTTCACTCTGTGACTTTGAGAATATCCTTTAGGCATTTTGAATAGGAGATTTCTAATATGAGCTGGCTGACCTAGCTGATCAGTATGATTAAGATACCTCCAGGAATTTTACAACATGGCTGCCCTGCATCATGGTTGCTTCTCCCATTATTCAAAACTAAGTGCTTTAATCAACAGTACAGATGATGTGAGAGTGGAATTTCTGTGAGTGTTCAGCTGAGTACGTTTGTGTGTGTGTGTATGTGTGCATCTGTGCATGTGCCTGTACATACATATATATGATCATGGGATTCTTTTATTAATGAGTAAATAACCTCAAATTGTAGCAGGCAGATTTTTTTTTTAAATAGTTTGTGGTAATGAAAATGAAGAAGAAAACTTTAGAGCCCGGAGAGATCTTAGCCCAGACTTTATTATTATTATTATTATTATACTTTAAGTTCTAGGGTACAGGTGTACAACGTGCAGGCTCGTTACATATGTATACATGTGCCATGTTGGTGTGCTGCACCCATCAACTCGTCAGCACCCATCAACTCGTTATTTACATCAGTTATAACTCTCAATGCCATCCCTCCCCCCACCCCCTCCCCATAATAGGCCCTGGTGTGTGATGTTGCCCTTCCCGTGTCCAAGTGATCTCATTGTTCAGTTCCCACCTATGAGTGAGAACATGCGGTGTTTGGTTTTCTGTTCTTGCGATAGTTTGCTGAGAATGATGATTTCCAGCTGCATCCATGTCCCTACAAAGGACACGAACTCATCCTTTTTTATAGCTGCATGGTATTCCATGGTGTATATGTGCTACATTTTCTTAATCCAGTCTGTCACTGACGGACATTTGGGTTGATTCCAAGTCTTTGCTATTGTGAATAGTGCCGCAACAAACATACGTGTGCATGTGCCTTTATAGCAGCATCATTTATAATCCTTTGGGTATATAACTGGTAATGCAATGGCTGTTAGCGCAGACTTTTTAAAAAATATGTTTTGTCCAAGTGAACCATAATCAACTGTGATGCTTTTTAAAATACAGATTCACAGGCCTCACCATAGACCTTTTAATTAAGACTCCTTTGGTATGGGACCAAGGAATCTTAATTTTTAATGAAGTCTCTGAATGCTTATTTTATGCATGAGTGTTTGAGAATTATTGATCTAATCAAGTAGTGCATTTTCTAGATAAAAACTGAGGTTGAGAGGTGACAATATAAATATAGTGAGTAGAATTGATCAAGCTGATTTAGATAACTAGTATTTGAATTCCAATTGAAATAAGAACATCATTAACTCATTCATTTATTAATTCCTCTAATAAACATGAATGGGATGCTTATTTTATTTATGTACTATGCTAAGTGTTTTATATAGACTGTCTAACACGTAAACTATCTCTGTGATATAATAGCTCAGAAGTTACATTTATTTCACATAAGGAAATTGAAGCTAAATATTTCAAATAATTTGCCTATGTTCTGGCCCC